ACGAAACGCTTTAAATTCAGGGCAATTAAAGAAAGATGAAGCTTGTCCTGAATGAAATCCTACTGCGCAAAAAGAGCAGGGACTGATATGGAATCGAACCATTCGTCTTCACATCTGCATGTACGGGGCTACACCACTGCACTACCGATCTCCATGCTCCAGAAGCCGCTTGGGAGTACTTTTACTGCGTATTTGCCTTTAAGAAAGTATACAAGTTCCTTTTAGTCCCAGGTTTTTGTGAGTCTCTCACGTCAGAGTTTAATTAAAGGCAAACTATCAATAACAAAAAAAGAAAATGAAGTAATACCAATTTCACGTAAGTCACGCATTGCGGCCAGAACTTCCTCGTCAGTTTCACCCAAGCCAAGCATCAGCGAAGTCTTTGTTACAACCTCGTTTCGAAACTAAAATGTGTTATAATTTCCTAAGAAACTCCAAAAATCGAGAAAAATGAGTGTTATTACCGAAGAAGAAAAAAATATGTTTTAGAATCATCAAAAATTTGCTGGAAAAAACAATTGTGAAGTTTCTACCTTTTTTGCATGTTCCAGGACCTTTAGCGACTGATCATAGGTGGCTCTCGGGTCCCGCACCCATGGTGTAAGCCGGCGCACTGTTTCCATATTGTGAGCATAAACATCCAGTCCGGACGAAAGAACTGTTTCGACGCTAGCCAAGCGGCCACGAAAATCAGGTACCAAACATTCCACCAGCGTTGCTGGGCATTCCTTCTTCAAATGCTGCACCGTAGCTGCAATGTGCGATGCACCGCCGTCTTCCAGATCGTCCCTGCAAAAATTCGTCCGCTCATGATATTTTTGATCTAATTTTCACTTTTTAATTTCAGGATTTTTGTCACTTTTATATTTCAGCTCTTTCATCTGCCAGTTTTTATTGTTATTTTTGTTTTATTTCAATAATTTTGCACTGCTTTCTTCGATCTAATACCCTGGCGGTTATCGATTTGCATTTAGTAATAATTTTTTTCATTTTTTTCGGGTTTTCAATATTTTTTCATTTTTATTTTTTCTAGCACCAATAAATTTTTTGCTGATGGCACTTCAACAGGGTAAGATTTGAAATATTTAATTTATTTTTTTCAGATGTTGGCAGATGAGAACTCTTTCTTTTCGGATGTAAAATGAGTAAAAAATTAAACCGCAGTTTTTTGGTACAAAAAATCAGATTAAGCAAATTTTAACAGCTTTGTTCCTCAATTTTCTGCAACTCGTGAACTTCTCAAGTAACCCTGATAGCTACATTAAGTGCAAGGAAAACAGAGTTATTCCACGTTCTCAGTTTCACCAAAAATCAAATTACGGATGTTTGTAGACAAAGAAATATATTTACATGTGATCCTGCGCAAAGAAACACAAATCTTTTGAAATAAATTTCAAATTTTCACCTGTCAACAGACGTCAGAACAACGTAGCTAAGCCCCCAATCCGCAATAGCTTTAGCCGTATTTAACGGCTCTTCTGGATTCAGC